CACTTATTATAACGTCCTGCAGGTTCATCCACGATGACAGGATTTCCTTCATTTTATGGCTGGATGGTTCTCCATTGTGTATATTTGCCACATTTTTTTTAATAAACAAAAGAGGTTTAATTGAATCACAGTTCTTCATGGCTGGGAAGGCCTCAGGAAACTTATAATCATGGTGGGAGGTGAAGGGGAAGCAAGGTACATCTTACATGGCAGCAGGTGAGAGAGAGCGCACTGGGACGGAGGGGAACTGCCAAACACTTTTAAAAACCGCGAGATCTTATTCAAACTCACTGTCATGAGAACAGCATGGGGGAAACCATAATCCAGTCACCTCCCACCAAGTCCTTCCCTTAACATGTGGGGATTGCAATTCAAGGTGATATTTGGATGGGAACACAGAGTCTCACCATATCAACCCAGGGTTCATATGGGAATTATGTTTTTTGGGTTTTTGAGAAACATTCATATGATTTTCCATAATGGCTGTACTAATTTACATTCCTACCAACAGTATGCTAGTGTTCTTTTTTTTTTATATCCTCGCCAACTATTTACCACATTTTTAATCCATTCATCTGTGGATGGGCACTTAGCTTGATTCCATATCTTGCTATTGTGAATAATGCTGAAATGAATATGGGAGTGAAAAATACTGATTTCACTTATTTCGGATATAGATCCAGTAAGAAAATTGCTGGATCACATGGTAGTTCTATGTTTAATTGTCTGAGGAACCTCCGTACTGTATTCCATGATGGCTGTACACATTACGTTCCCAAAACGCACAAGGGTCCCCTTTACTCCACATCCTCACCAACACGTATCTTTTGTGTTTTTGATAACAGCCATTCTAACAGGTGTGAGGAGATACCTTGTGGTTTTGATTTGCATTCTCCTGATTAGTGATGTTGAGCATTTTTCCAGACATCCGTTGGTTATTTGCATGTTGTCTTTTGAGGAATGTCTATTCAAGTCCTTGCCCATTTTCTTTTTTTTTTTTTTCCTTTTTTTATGAGGCAGAGTCTCACTCTGTTGCCAGGCTGGTGTACAGTGGCGCAATCTCGGCTCACTGTAACCTCCACCTTAAGCAATTCTCCTGCCTCAGCCTCCCGAGTAGCTGGGACTGCAGGTGCACGCCACCATGCCCAGCTAATTTTTATATATTTAGTAGGGATGGGGTTTTGCCATGTTGGCCAGGCTGATCTCGATCTCTTGACCTCATGATCCACCCACCTTGGCCTCCCAAAGTGCTGTGATTGTAAGTGTGAGGCACTGTGTCTAGCCTCAAATTTCTTTGTTTCTTGCTAGTGAGTTGTTTGAATTCTCTGTGTATTTTGGATAGTAGCCCTTTGTCAGATGTGTGGTTTGCGAATATTTCCTCCCATTCTGTAGGTTGTGTCTCCACTCTGTTCACTGTATCCTTTGCTGTGCAGAAGCTTCTCAGTTTGCTGTAATATCGTTTGTTTATTTTTGCTTTTGTTTTCTGTGCTTTTGGGGTAAAATTCAAAATGTCATTGCCCAGATCAATGTCATGGAGCTTGAGCTCAGGAGTTTGAGACCAGCCTGGGCAACACAGACCACGTCTCTACACACACCCAAAATTTTAAAGCCATCTGTGGTGGCATATGCCTGTAGTTCTAGCTACTCAGGAGGCTGAGGCAGGAGGATCACTTGAGGCAGGGAGGTGGAGGCTGCAATAAGCCATGATCATGCCACTGTACTCCAGACTGGGTGACAGAGACTGTCTCAAGGGAAAAAAAACATGTCACCTGCAAATGGACAATTCAATGTTTTTCTTTCCAATTTGGATGCCTTTTGTTTCTGTTGCCTGATTGTTCTAAGACCTCCAGTACTATACTGAATAGAAGTGGTGAGAGTGGGCATCTTTGTCTTGTTCTGGATCTTTATTTGCTGGTTATGATGCTAGCTGTGGCTCTGTCATATGCGGCCTTTAATGTGTAGTTGCACATTCTTTACATACCTAATTAGTTGCCAGTTTTTTATTATTAAAAGATGTTGAATTTGTCAAATGCTTTTTTCTGCATATATTTGAAGGCTCACAGAGTCATGTGGTTTGATCTCTGTCCCTACCCAAACCTCACGTTCAATTGTAATCCCCAGTGCTGGAGGTGGGGCCTCCTGGAAGGTGATTGGGTCATGGGGGCAGTTTCTCATGGTTTAATGCCATCATGGCAATAGCAAGATATCGTGAGATCATGTTTAAAAGTGTGAGCACCTCCCCTCCCTCCTGCTCCAGCCATGTGAAGTGCCAGTTTTCCCTTCGCTGTCCACCGTCACTGAAGCTGAGCGGATGCTGCCATGCTTACTGTACACCCTACGGAACCATAAGCCAGTTAAACCTCCTTATTTTCTTTCTTTCTTTTTTGTTTTTGAGACAGAGTCTCACTCTGTCACCCAGGCTGGAGCGCAGTGGCATCCTGGGAGTTCACTGCAACCTCTGTCTCCTGGGTCCAAGCAATTCTCCTGCCTCGGCCTCCTGAGTGGTGGGATTACAGGTGCCTACCACCATGCCTTCCTGATTTTTAAAATTGTTTGGTAGAGGTGGGGTATTCCCATGTTGGTCAGGCTGGTCTCAAACGCCTGATCTCAGGTGATCTGCCCACCTCAGCCTCCCAAAGTGCTGGGATTACAGGCGTGAGTCACCATGCCCAGCCTAAACCTCTTTTCTTTGTAAATTAACGAGTCACAAGCATTTTTTTTTTTTTTTTTTGGTTGCTTCGAAATTTATTTGAGAACAACAGAAGATAAACGTATCAAAAGAACACACAGGTGGGTGGGTGGGGGCACGGCCAGCGGCGGCGGCAGGGGTGGGCATCCGGACTAAGGCGTTTACGTGGCTGCAGACTGGCCGGATTTCGCAGCTTCTGGGCCCCCGAGCTGGGCCCGCGACTCGAAGGTGACGGGGATGCTGACCTCGTGGGGCTGCGTGGCCGGCTTGGGCGTGGGGGCCTCCACGGTCAGTGTGCCCTCAGGGGACAGGGAGGAGGAGACCTGGGTGGGGTCCACGCCGGGGGGCAGCGCGTATTTCCGGGTGAAGCGCCGGGAGGTGAACCCGTGCTCATCCTGCCGCTCCTCGTGCTTGCCGGTGATCTCCGCCGCGCCGTCCTTGGTCTAGACCGTCAGCTCCTGGGGGCGAAGTGGTTGACGTCCGGGGACACGCGCCAGCGGCCCGCCGTGTGCCGGATCTCCGAGCCCCCGCTGCTGAGCGCGCGGCTGTAGGCGGGCGCGGCCACCGCGGGGCCCCGGACGGCGGCGGGGGCAGGGGGCGCACGGAGCCCGGCCAGCTGCTGGTGCCGAACCGCTGCGACCACTCCTCCGGCAGCCGGGCCGTCCCGAAGGCCCGGTGGAAGAGCCGGCTGTGCGGGGACCAGTCGCGGAAGGGGTCCCAGCTGGGGCTCCGCAGGAGCGAGAAGGGTACGCGGCGCTGGGTCATGCTGGCCGGCTCTTCTCGGGACGTCTGCTCGGAGAAGTGCCGGCATTTCTTTATAACAATGCAAGAATGAACTAGTACCAAAAATTGGTACTGGGAGTGGGACATTGCTATGAAGATACTTTAAATATGGAAGCAGCTTTGGGACTGGGTAGTGGTCAGAGGCTGTAACAGTTTGGAAGGCTCAGGAGACAGGAAGATGAGGAAACAATTCAAACTTCCTAGATGTTCCTTAAACTGTGATAGGTAAGTCATGTGGACAATCAAGTCCGGGCTGATAGATAGGCATGTGAACTAAACATGCAGACAGTCATGTGGACAATGAAGTCCAGGCTGAGCGGGTTTCATATGGAAATAAAAACCTTATTGGGAACCGCACTAAAGGTCACTCTTGTATGCGTCAGCAAAGAGACTGGTGGCATTGTGCTCCTGCTCTAAGAATCGGTGGAACTTTGAACTTGAGACAGTTTAGGGTATCTTGTGGAAGAAATTTCTAAGCAGCATAGCATTCAAAACTTGACCTAGTTGCTTCTAAAAATCTATGCTCATATGCCTGAGTAAAGAAATGGCCTGAAACTGGAACTGATATTTAAAAGAGAAGCAGAGCTTAAACATTTGAAAATTTTGCAGCCTGGCCATGCAGTAGGTAAGAAAAATCCGTTTTCAGGGGAGGTATTACAAGCAGGTTGCCGAAATTTGCCCCAGTAAAGAGGAGTCAATTGCTAATAGACAAGACAATGGGAAAAAGGCCTCAGAAGCGTTTCAGAGCCCACTGTGAGAGTCTCTCTCATCATGGGCCTGGAGGCCTGGGAAGACGGAAAGGCTTTATGGGCCAGGCTCAGGGCCCTGCTGCTCTGTGCAGCCTCAAGACAGGATGCCCTGCATTTTGGCCACTCCAGCTCCAGCCATGGCTAACAGTGGTGAAGGTATAACTTGGGCTGCTGCTTGCGAAGGTGCCAACTGTAAGCCCTGGCAACTCCCACCTGGTGTTAAGCCCGCAGGTGCACAAGGAGGCTTAGGAACCTCCACGTAGATTTCAGAAAATGTCTACAAAATCCAGAGAACCGGTAACTGGGATGGTGTGGAGGGGAGAAGGGGGGTTTGAGCCTCCATATAGAGTCCCCACTAGGGCACTGCTGTGAGAGGAGAGCTACCATCCTCCAGACCCCAGAATGGTAGAGCCACCTGATACCAGAAAGGAGTCCAAATCCAGAGCCCAAGAGAGGGTTCTTGGATCTCGTGCAAGGAAGAATTTGAAGCAAGTCCACAGTGCAAAATGGATGCAACTTTATTAAAGGGGTGCAAGAATAGCGACCCCATAGACAGGGTGGGGCATTTCCAAAAGTAAGAGGAGACAAGCATCCATCCTAGGTACAAAGCATATTTAAAGCTAGAAATGCTTTTGTTCTCAAGGTACCAGGAGATTCTGGGTCTGTCAAGGCCAGAGTCTGTTTAGGAAACATCATTAATCTGTTCCCTGAATGTTGACATCTGGAGGCTAGGAATGCTTGACCTCCTGGGAATGCAGCCCAACAGGACCCAGCTTCATTTTTCTTGGCCCATATTCGAAACAGAGTCACTCTGGTTTGAATGCTTCTAACCTATCCCCCCCACCCTTTTACAAGAGGACCCTTAATTCTAAGGGTTGCAGAAGGATGAAGGTCCGTCTTCTGTAACTTCTTCATGCTGAACAGGGGCGATGATATTTCCACGTATCTATTAGGGTCTCTTGTATTCAGGGTAGAGAGGAGTCAGTCAGAAAGCGTTGGTACATTAAGCGTCATTTGTACCTCTGTGTTCCAGCAAAAGGTGAAACCTGGAAGATTAAGAGGTGTCCAATTTAAGAAAGTATTGAGTAAGCTTACCCTGTGTTTCTACACAAAGAGTACAACCACAATATATTCAACAACAGCAAAGCAAAATAAGAAAGATGATCCCAGGTAAGCTAACAGGAAGGCTTTCCGAACACTGGGCAGTTGTTGGAGCCAAGCCACCATGGAGGTGCCTGCCAGTGCGGCGATGGCAGAGACAGGAGTGCCTCCAGCTTTCTCAGCTTGGGTAATGCTGTGTCAGTAGTCTGGAGCATGCAACATTTGGTTTTGATCAAAGCACAAGTTTCCCCTTGAGCTGCTGTTAAAATGGCTTTGCCATACAGTTTGTTAAGGCCACCTGCCTAATCTGAGAGGCGTCCTCAGGAGGGTAAGGGCATGGTGCGTGCTATTCAAAGCTGCAGCCGTGTGTGTGGCCAAGGCTTCAACACTGATTGTGGCTGCCTGTGAAGAAAGTATAGCCATCTGGTAGAAGCAGATGGCTTCTAGAGTGAGCCCTTACAGTTTCCCAGTTAGATGAAGACAGTCCAATTTGGTGAGGATACATCCCAGAGGATAAAGATGACCCCACGTACACCTTCCAGTCCACTTATAAGATACATATGACCAGCTGAGTTCCACAAGGCTCTAACAACCTTGAAAAAGAAGAGACACTGTTTTTCTGTGAATTACATTGCCATCTCATCCACATTTTGTTCTTCTTTTAGAAGGGTCTTACTCGAATTTTGGGAAAATCAGCAGCTAATAAATTATTTAAGCTGTGTGTCCATGCCTCCTCTGCCTTGTATTAAAAGAGAAAGCTGAGACCCTTTGCTACTGGCATCTCTGGCAAAGCCTTCCACAGGTACAATGACTGGAAAAGACTTAACCTGAAAGAAACATTACTCACAGTTTTCATTTTTTTTTTTTTTTTGAGATGGAGTTTTGCTCTTGTTACCCAGGCTGGAGTGCAATGGCGCGATCTCGGCTCACCGCAACCTCTGCCTCCTGGGTTCAGGCAATTCTCCTGCCTCAAGCCTCCTGAGTAGCTGGGACTACAGGCACGCGCCACCATGCCCAGCTAATTTTTTGTATTTTTAGTAGAGACAGGGTTTCACCACGTTGACCAGGATGGTCTCGATCTCTTGACCTCGTGATCCACCCGCCTCGGCCTCTCAAAGTGCTGGGATTACAGGCGTGAGCCACCGCGCCCGGCCCACAGTTTTCATTTTTATTTATTTACTTTTTACCAAGTAAAAAACTATGGTCATTATTTTAAAGTAGTAGCACTACCAAGTGGTAATGGGAGAGGCTGGGCTTCCGTAGAGTCAGATAACCAGTTAAACGCCCTCAGAGGTTAAGAACTAACTAGCTGCTGCTTGAGGGAAGGGGAACTATTCCTGCCACAGGCTTCTGAGAGCTGTTCCTTCCAGAGGTCCTTTTAAAGATGAATTTGTCTAATACGGGGAGTCTCAAAAGCCCAATTTTACAGTAAATACTAAATCCCATTTCCTAGGGTCTGCTCCTTTGAGGTGCTCCATCTGGTATGGTCAGGAAGTGTGACTCCTAAGGCTGGTGCCTCAAATTCACTTCTGTGGGTTTTGCTAACTCATGGGGTGACCGATTGAAAAATGTAGCTCACCGAGAGGCTGAATGGGCTGCATGTTTTCTGCACAGCTCTCTGCAAATCTTTCTCTTGGCTGGCTTTTGAAAATACCAAGTGGCCATGAGTTTGAGGTGATAAAACTCCCTCTTCAGCAGGCCCCGTGCTGTGGTCGTGTGTCAGGTGCTCTTTGCAGCTGGTGAAGGCAGAATCAGGATTGGAATATATGTTAAACAAAGGCCGAATCTAGACACGTGCACATCTAGAAGGCTTTCCCAGTTCTTTACAATGGAGCTTCATCAGTGTCTGTTACAACAAAATTGTCCTCCAAACATTAATCTGGGATCTTCTCCAGTACCTGTACAGAGTGGACTGTTCGTCTGTCCGACACTTACTGTGTTCCACCAGGAAGGACACCTTCCAAAGCAAGAAGCTGTTGGACAAAATCAACAGACTGTCTGGGCGTGATCCACGTGGCAGAGGTTTACTTCCCGAAGAACGGACTTCACCTTTTATCACCACTTCACGCTGAGGTCCAAATGGCTGCACAGACATTTTTTAGATCCTAATAGAGAAAGAAAGTCTGAGTTGAAGATTCTAAATTCAATTCTTTTGTCAACTATTTCCTGTATTTCCTTTGTCCAAAAGACTAAGCTAGGGAATACAATGGTATCCCACCCTTAGAGCTTATGCTCCAGAGAAGAACGTAGGGAAGGAGAGAGACGATCACAATACCATCTGCACAGCGGGCGTGAGCAGCCCCGGTGCTACAGCATGCTGCTCATGAGAAACCTGGGAAGAGGAGAGCAAAGCTTCCCAGAAGGAGCCAGCCCAGGGAAGTTGAGGACCAGCAGTCCAGGCACAGGTTTTCACTCACGCTGGGGCAGGCAGGACTCTTGCCTCCTTCTGTTAGGTCCTAATAGCAGCCTGAGCACACAAGAGAGTTCTGTAACCCAGGCAGGAGGATTAGCCACGTGTGACTCAGAGGAGAGTGCCCTTTAAGCAAGGGTCACACAAGCAAGACTGATACTCTTGACAGGGGAACTCTGGCTGTCAAGTTGATATTCACTTAGGACTTGGAAGCCCAGAATTCATGGGCCCATAGAAGACATGAAGGAATATAGTTCAGCAGCTGACAAAATCCACTAGTAGCTTCTGGAAGAATAAGAAAAGTGAATGAAAACCCAGGCATGGTGGTTCGTGCCTGTAATCCCAGCACTTTGGTAGGCCAAGGCGGGTGGATTACGAGGTCAGGAGTTTGAGACCAGCCTGGCCAATACGTAAAACACCGCGTCTCTACTAAAAATACGGAAATTAGCTGGGTGTCGTGGCGCGCGCCTTTAGTCTCAGCTACTTGGGAGGCTGAGGCAGAAGAATTTTTGAACCCAGGAGGTGGAGGTTACCGTGAGCCGAGATCATGCCACTGCACTCAGCCTGGGCAGCGGAGTGAGACTCTGTCTCAAAAAAAAGAAAGAAAATGAAAAATGAATGAGAAAAATCAATATTGTTGTTTCATTATTTACTTTTGTCAGAATATACTTAAAAATAATGATTTCTTAATATATACTCAGCTGGTTTCAAAGGAGATTATCAGTCACAAAAAGAAGAAAATCTGAAGCTAAATTAGAGTTTACACTGATTCACAGCATCTATTCGCGAAAGTAAGATGTGGACTTCGTCATTCAAATTGTGGATCTTGAAGCACATCCCAGCGAGTGGCTGTTTTGAGAGATGAGTAAAACCTTGTCATAATAAACGTATTTATGTTACCCTTCCTCCCAAACTTTGGATCCTTTGGAGAAAAAGAAAACTATAACCTCATGTTCCTCTCCAGGTTTCACAGATAGATTCTCTAGATCCACTGAGAGGGACGTCCTCATCCCGGAACCTAAACAGTCACGGAATCATAATGAAATGCTGACTTACAACATGCAGCTCTCGCTCAGCGACTCCTGCCTTTGGTTCCTTCCTCGTTTACTAGGAGAGGTGACTTTTCGTGTCTCCTAGTCCCTCACAGTCTCAACTCATCCTGTTCCCTTGGAAAGCGCCTCTTTTCCGTCTTTTTCTTCCATAACAAACCTGACCTCCCACAAACTGCACCCCCAATTTCATGTCACTAACACCCTCTCATGCACCTTCACGTCACAGAAAGAGGTCAAAGTGTGTGGGTCACTCTTTTTCAACTCCAACCGCAGGCTGACACGCACATTTTTCAGAAATCAATTCAGCACTTGGTTTTCCTATTCAAGACATTGGGCTCTACACTGAGAGCACCACAGCACACATACACTTCAGGCTAGAGAAACAGCCAGCTTTTCAAACTCTCAGCAATGCCACCAGCTGCTCCTCAGGGCACCCTGAAGGGACAGGCAGCACCAGGGCCCTGAGAAGGCAGGGAACTCTCACAGTCTCAGGAAAGATGAGTTGATGGTGCTCTGACAGAAGTTCATAAAATCCATATGTTGATTATCTAAACTTCGATGTTCCCAGCATTTCTCGGAGGTAAGGGCAGCTTTATGGATGAGGCCACGATGGCCACCAAATGCATCATCCAGAAGCTGGAGCGAGACAGACTTTCAACAATCTGTCACCATTAAAGTGACATCAGTCTGAATACAAGACACTGACGGCAGAGGACAGGACTGAGGCGACCTGTAAGTGCCTGGGAGCACGAATTTTAACTCTTTCTGCGCGTTCTTGGATATCAACACTTCTCAGAACTGGCGTAGGCTTTGGGCCGTCAACTTCTATGTCAACTCTTGCCACGAAGTCTCCTCCTGAGTCTTGAACCTCTAAAATTAAAAAAGGCCATTCCTTCTGCCAATTTTTTTCTAGAAGAAAAAAAAAAAAGGTTATTCTTTTAGTTCAGAGACCAGAGCATCAGCACTCCATCACAATGCCCTTGGGGCCACACAAAAATGTAGGCAAGAAGATTTTTTAAAGACTTAAAAGAGGACTGGAAATGAGTGCAGAAGCAGAAAAAGCAAGAGCACAGTCAGCTGGTAAGTGAGATGAGATCAGTGTAGAGAAAGTATCCCCATAGGCCCTCGGAGGTACTTGCTGTGGTCATGACCCAAAACAGTAAGCCCTCTACCTCACTGTCAGACCATTAGATACTTGACAGATGACTGGGAGTGTTCACACTCACTGACAGAGGAAATCAGTCTCAAATTTGTCGTGTATTCAGATATAGAGAAAAGCAATTTCCAGAAAATATTAACATGATATCTAAAGAGCCAAGCGGCTTCTGGAAAAGAACTGAAATTTTCAGAAATTCTGGACCTTATGAGAAAAAAAATTAATATGTACTAGTATTGTTTCCAATACGAATGAAAGAAAAGCAGTTTGGAAAACCTTATCTTTTTTTTTGTTGTTTTTTAATGGAAAGCCCACGCTATCCTACCTGTCTCTCATAAATGGCAGGTATCACGTGGTTGACCACAAAGCAGCCTGCCAGCCAAGGGACCACTCAGTGCAGGGAGCAGCTCCCACAGGAGCTCAGCCGGGTTCCTTGGAAAACGTCAGACTCTGCCAGACCACGGTGTTCTGTTCAGAAAGAGAAGACTCAGTTTCAGTAAAGCCAATAGCAGTAAGAATGTGAACTGTGTTAACAAATCTTTAACAAAAGCATTTCTGTTCATAGAAATGACATATTCTGGGAAGAGTATTTTTCACTGTACATTTGTATTCACAACACTGAGAATCAGCTTGACTGGTACAGTGGTGTATGTCTGGTTCATTGATTTTTTTTGGCAGGGACTTTCCAGCCTTCACAACTTCAGTCACCAAAATCAAGAATGTCTTTCTGTTCTGTTTCTACCTAATTACAAAAAAGGAAGTGATTTATGAAAAGCAATATATTAATAAATAGCATTACTTATGTTCACATTACTGCCATTTCTAGCCACAAATTAAGAGTCAGGATTCAGGAGTTTAAGAGCAACCTGGCCAACCTGGTGAAACACAGTCTCTAATAAAAATATAAAAATTAGGTGGGCCTGGTGGTGTGTGCCTGTAACCCCAGCTACTCAGGAGGCTGATGCAGGAGAATCACTTAAACCCAGGAGGCGGAGGTTGCAGTGAGCTGAGGTCACAGCATTGCACTCCAGCCTGGGCAACAGAATGAAGACTCCATCTCAAAAAAAAAAAAAAAAAAGGCAGGATTAAGGAGAACTTTTCAATTGCTTTTCTACAAAGATAAATGTTAAATTCTTTTTGTGAGGTCATCTCTATACCTAAATAGGCCAGAGAATTAAGCTGCTGCAGCCTGGAAGAGACTAATCTTCAGATGAAGTGACAATCACATAAATTATACAGACCTCCTTTCTATTGTCAGGAAGTTTTAACAATAAGTTCTGCTATTAGAATAACGACTTCTCCATTCCCTTCAAAAAGTCACTAATATCTTGGCATTTTCAGATTTTATTTTAAAATGTTAAAAATTATATAAAGTTCACAACAAGTGTCTATGATCATGATGAACTGAGTTCCTTCATCAGAGGCGACCAATATAACTGAGACCGCTGAGGCCCCCCCGTGTGGAAATACTTGAAGCTATGGGAGCCCCACTGGACATCACCATCCGTGCAGGTCCCTGACATGACACGGCGCCGTGCTTGCGTGCAGCCGAGGCACATCCTCCTTCATACTTCGAATCACTCCTAGATTACTCATAATACCAAACAGGGTATAAATGCTACGTAAATAGTTGTACATTATCAGGTAGAGAATAAGAACAAGGAAGAAATGCCTGCACACGTTCAGTACAAACGCAGCCGTCTTTTTTATGGGAGGGGCGTGGATATTTTTGATCCAAGCTTGGTAGAGCGTGAGGATGCAGGACGCACAGATACAGAGGGCTGCAGAGATTCCACACACACACACATTTTCCTTTGCCCTATTCAACCATAAAATGAAGGGAACTCAAAGGCCGCCTGGCAGGAAGGAGCTGACTTGCATGGCGGCCAGAAGAGTCTGGGGTCCAGATTCACCCTCAAGGTGGTAAAGCTTTAATGCCTTCCAGAGAACAACTGATGTGACTTCAAGTTTGTTGTGGACGGGTCGAGGCTAAAATAAAATCTGAATTCTACACAAAGTCCAGAAATTCAAAGAAGTGCCCTTTCTAGAAATAAAAAGAAAACTGAAAAAAGTCTGACGGCATGTCTGTGAGGGTAACAACGAGCCTGTCCAGAGGTGGGTGGCATCGAAGACTGTTAATAGGAGCGGAAAGCCTGGGCCTAGGTCCCACCAGGCGTGAGAGCCCCAGGCTGAAAATCACCGAGGCTTTCAGTGCCTCCAACATTTCTGCAAAAGGCTCTCTAGGGACATTTCCAAAGACAAGGACACATGGGATTCCTAGAGCAAAAAAGCCTCAGTCAATGTGCGCTTGCATGAAACAATTTTAAATATATATTTTAAAAAATGGAAACCACTCAAAGAAAGTCAGGACGAATCAACAAAAGTAACTGGTGGAAACATTAGTATCTCAAGAAACAGAAATCTGAAATAAACCACACAATGAGTTGGTTTTAAATACAGACCATGAAGTCTATAAACAGAGGAAAAGGCAAAATATTCATGAAGCAATGGTGAGCACCAAGAAGTATCAATAGCTTGATCAATCTCTAAAACCTTTTTAATGTTGGGGTTTCAAAAAATGTTTACAACTAAAATATCGGTCAAAGGTAATATGGAAGGAAAAGATGAGCATTTAAATGAAGAAAGCGACTGTGTTGCTTGAGAATCGAACAGAGCTCCTGATTCACTTTAGATTTGGGTAAGCAATATGCGACGAGTGGAAATGGAAACACAGGCGGGTGCAGTGGTTCAGGCCCGAAATCCCAGCATTTTGGGAGGCCGAGGCAGGTGGATCACCTGAGGTCAGGAGTTCGAGACCAGCCTGGCCAACATGGCAAAACCCAGTCTCTACTAAAAACACAAAAATTAGCCAGGCGTGGTGGTGAGTACTTGTAATGCCAGCTATTCAGGGGGCTGAGGCAGAAGAATCACTTGAAACCGGGAGGCAGAAGTTGCAGCGAGCCGAGATCGCACCACTTCACTCCAGCCTGGGTGACAGACTAAGACTCAAAAAAAAAAAGTAATAAAATAAATAAAAAATAATTCTTTTTCTCTCTTTTGTCTTAGAGTCAATTTTGTCTGGTGTTAATATTGTGCATCATGTTTCTTTTGCTTTCTTTCTTTTTTTGGGGGGAGGGATGGAGCCTTACTCTGTCACCCAGGCTGGAGTGCAGTGGCACAATCCCAACTCTCTGCAACCTCTACCTCCTGGGTTCAAGTGATTCTCGTGCCACCAAACCTGACTAATTTTTTATATTTTTAGTAGGGACGGGGTTTCACCATATTGGCAAGGCTGATCTTCAGCTCCTGACCTAGTGATCTGCTCACCTCAGCCTCCCAAAGTGCTGGGATTGCAGGCATGAGCCACCGCACTCAACCCTATTTTATGAGTTTTAAACTTTTTTAGGGTCAGAGTCTTGTTCCGTCACCATTCCTGGAGTGCAGCAGCACAATCATAGCTCACTCCAGCCTGGACCTCCTGGGCCACCACAACTGGCTGATTTTCCAAAACTTTTTTAGAGACAGAGTCTCACTGGGTTGCCCAGGCTGATCTAAAGCTCCTGGCCTGAATGAAGTGGTCCTCCCTACCAGGCCTCCCTAAGTGCTGGGATTACAGGCATGAGCCGCCAAGTCTGGCTAAGAATTCTTAAAACGAACCATTGCACATAGAAGACAAAACAATCCTAAGCCTAAACACATGTAACAATATAGCTGCGTAATACCCAAGAAAAAAGTGATAGGATGTATAATTCCCCTTGTAAGAGAAATTTCAGATCTACAACCATCTCTCAGAAGCTGAAAGGTTAAGCAAAGCAAAATATGAGGAATGATTTCAAAGATTTGAACTACAGAGAAATAAACCAGAGCCGAGTACACGTAAGAGCGCTGCACCTGAGAGACAGTCCTTCTGAGCTCACAGGAGACGCCGACATCAGCTGAACACACCCTAGGCTACGGAATCAACCCACCTGCCTCCATCCCACACTCTGGCCGTGAAGGGGGACGTGGGTGCTGGGGAGAAAGCGGCCAAGTATGACAAAGACTCATTTACAAGTTCTCACCTTCATAACAGGACTCCCCACAGTAACAGAGTGACACTAAATGCTGGCTAGACCGGATTTAACCTTTTAACACCACTTCACACTGAGGTCCAAATGGCACAAATATTTTCCAGATCCTAACAGAGAAAGAAATCCCAATGGAAGGTCCTTGTATCTAATTATTTTGGCAAGTATTTTCTACATATTTCCTTTGTGCAAAAGACTGAGCCAGGTGCTGAGGATATGAAAGATATTCCCACCTTTAGAGCTTATGCTCCAAAGAATATAGACAAGGAGAGAGACGATCACAATGCCACGTGCACAGGGGGTGTGAGCAGCCATGGTGCTACCGGAACGCGGTTTATAGGAAGTCTGGGAAGAATGGAGGAAAGTGTCCCAGAAGGAGCCAGCCCAGGGAAGCTGAGGACAAGCAGTCCAGGCAGAGGCACTCACACTGGTGCGGGCAGGACTCGTCTTCTTCTGTACGGTCCTACGAGCAGACTGAGCACACAAGAGAGTTCTATAACCCAGGCGCGGGGAGAAGCCACGTGTGTCTCAGAGCAGACTGTGCTTCAAGCGAGGGTAATACAAGCAAACTCAACACCTTGGCAAGGGAGCTCTGGCTGTAAGTTGATATTCATTTATGGTTTGAGGGCCCAGAATTCACGGGGCTGGAGAAGAAATGAAGAAATATATCTTAACAGCTGACAAAGTCAACTAGTAGTTTCTGGGAGAAAAAGAAAAGGTGAATGAGAAACATCAATACACGGTGCGGTGGGAACAAAGAGCCAGGCTCATCACTGAGGTCCCGCAGCCCCACGCCACCCCGCCTGTGACGGCAACTCTGGCCACCCGTCCCTTGTCACTCTCAGTGGGGATCTTCTCTTCTGCTCCCAACTTCCAAAGACATCACTGCTCCATTCACAGACTCCTGGATACCCCTAAAAAGTCTTCCCAGCCCACCTTTCACCTCAACCCTTTCCTTCAATCACCGGCTTTTCATCCAAGCTGAGGATCTGAAAGTAGAGGGGAAAAGCCAGGACAGGGGAGGTGGGGAGGGCAATCTGATTTTACCAGGTAAACAAGGGCCACTAAGAGGCACGGGCGAGGACTAAACCTCTCCACCAATGCTGGTTTGCAAGTAGCGGTCACGAAACTGGGACACTGAAAACCAGCAGCTGCTGACCCTGTTCCCTGCCCCACTCCCTGCCGTTCGGATGGTCGTCGTAACCAGGAAAGATGTGGAGTCTGGAATCACAGCAGCTGCAGTTGAGCATGTGGGAGACTCTTGCCTTCAGAGCTCATGTTAAAACTGCATTTCCAGGTATTTCAAAAGCTTATGTAAGGCAACTGTCAGATAAATGAGTAAAAAGGACTCCCCTTACCAAGTGAAGGCAGAGCCCCAAGATTGACTTGTTTCTCTCCTTCTTTCTTTTGATAAATGACAATAAGTTACATTCAGTCCCATTTTACAAAATTAACAGTAGAGGGACCAGGATCTCTGAGCTTTCAGTGATTGTAATAATAGGGCTACAAACAAATGTTTATGATTTTATAAATAAACAACAATGACATATAAATAATGACACAAAAAGTAAAATATTCAGATTTCAGTGTACATTGGAACATGTACTACGACAAAATGAGGAGAAGCTCCATGGCGGTGCCGGTGTGAGGTGGAAAGGGGCAGGGAGAGCCGGGCCCCGAGAAAGGAGAAATCACGCGCTGACGCCGAGTGCAACTGTTACATCAAAGGAGGGCACCCGGGAAGGCTGCCTTCTCCCCACGGGCGTGGAGCTGAGGACCCCGAGGCCAGCTGCACTGAGCACAGGAAGGCGGGTCTGGGAAGCTGTCCCAACACAACAGCCATGGGGAAGCGTCCCCTCCTCAGGCACTCGGACACTCCCTGGGTGAGAATAAGGCACAAAGATGCAAGTGACAGCAGACCTGACCAGAGCTCAATCGGTTCAATGACAACGAGTCTATGAGACGGCCTGTGTGTTGCTCAGAGCTACAGCTCAAAGTGCTCCAGAGGCAGGAGTCCTTGTCCCTGCCTGAGCCTCAGCAGAGGCCTACCGACAATTTTTTCCTGCCTCCATCCAGCCCGGGAAAAACAAGTAAGATTACATCGAACTCACCATTATAGCTACTGAATTCTTCGGTGTCACTGCCAGTCATGTCTTCCTGTTTTCTCTCACAAATCCTAAGCCACTGCTTAACCTAAAAGAAAACCACAGAGGCTCTAACTTTCCAGATGTGGAGCCTATCCGACTCCAATACTACCACCCGTCTCTGCCCCGTCCTCACGCAGTTGCTCCGGAGGGCAGAGAAGACAGCACCCCAGTAGCATGTGTGCCATGTCAGGAAAAGCACCACTCCCAGCTATGGGGGTGCGGTGACCACCAGCAAGAGAGCAGCTGCCCCACAGCTGCGCCCGAGGGGGCTGCCTCTCCACCGCGACAGCCACCCGGAGACTCACAGGGGGAAGCGCTCGCTCGCTCTGGGATTCAACTCTAAACGCGACGTCTCCTAGGTGAAATCATCACAAACCTGCAACAACAGAGCAAAAGAGAGGTAAGGAAGACAAAGCCACAGGCAGCCTGTCACCTGCACGGATGCTTGGGGTGTTCTAAGCCATCTTCAAGAACGCTTGCACAAAAATATGTTGTGGTGCTCTCAGCTGAAGACAAAGCACAAAGCTTACAAGAAGTGAAGGCCAACCAGGAACTCCATGAAACAAACTAGCTTTGTGGGGTCATTTGAAAAAAATCCAACTATTAAATAACAACAACAACAGAGCAAAAGCATCTCACCCCATCCTGATGTCACTCTTGAATCCCGTGGTGCATTTCCGCAGTTTGAACCAACAGACTGCACAGGAAAGGGTTTCGCTGCGCTCAGCGGGTTCCCATATAAGGCATTAGAATCTGGGTTGCAGATGGAAGAGGAACCCGTCCATCCGGAGCCAGTATTTGGTCCCAGATTCCCAGCCACAGAGTTCTGCACATGTTCCCCCAGGACAGCTGGACGGGGACAGCCTCCTGAGAAGCCACAGACTGTGGCACTGCCAGCCTGGCACTGAGACAAGGCGACACTTTCAGCTGAAGGGAGTGTTCTTAAATTCCTCTGAGTGAAGGAAGCTGTGCCGGGAGGGGTCACATCAAGAGTGCAGGCACCGCAGCGGGCACGTTCCGCATCTCAGCTGCAGAGCCGTGAATGGTGCCGCTGGGAACAGGTCCTGGTCTCCGAGCTCACTACTTGAGCTGACAGAGCTGTAAAGATGATTCCTTGATCTTCATCCACCGTCCCCCGGTAGGACACAGGGAGGTGTGAGTGGCTGGTCCCGTCTGATGACTCAGACCTGACTTGCTCAGGAGAGCCAGCCTGACTGGGTCCACTTCCTTGAGGCTGGAGGTCAAGTCCACCTCACTGGGTTCCAACAGATGTCCACTTTTGGAGGAGGGATCTTCACATGATCGAAGGTTGGGCTCTCCATCTTTAGGCTGGCTACTCAGAGAAGCGGTTTCAGTCATTATTTCATAACAGAGTTGTTTGGATCATAGATGGCAATGTTCCTTTTCCTGTGTTCTGAAATCAAATCTTTTCTCTCAGTTTCTCCACAGCCTGTTCCTCTGATGGGGCTGGGCTGGCTGGAACAATTGTGCTCGTCTCACTGGTGATATCACTCTGACTGTGACAACATTTTAAAGAATAATCAAGATAAACGGAATATCACAAATTCAAGTCATGCTGGTATAAACTCAGATAATGTAATAAAGAAATCTACATGGGTTATCTTTCTGAAATAGATGTGGTCTACACAAAAGAGTTATCTTGCAACTGGGCAAGCAGGCTATTAGAAAGTTTACATTTGTTTCTTTGTAAAAATATAATATGAGGAAAATAAACAGGACATATACACCAGTTGTATCTGAAATTTACATAGATAAAGGATGAGAGGCAAGTAAGTTTTTGAAAATTTAAGAAACTTGTGTAAACTTTATAATGAAAATCTAAATACATTAGTCATGGGGGGAGTGGGGATCAGAGGGGCAGCCGGCTTGCGGCTTGCGGGGCCCACCCCCACAATCTGTCCCTGCTGCTGCCTGTGCTTGAGGAGTCAAAGACGTTGGCTCTTACGGGCACGCATCCCTCTCCTGTGTCTAAACGTGTGTGGCTCTATTAATGCTTGACTTATCGCTGTAATTCCACACCACTGGACATTTGGGAGAAGCTTAGTACAAGCAGTGGATAGAATAATGTCTCCTCTGGCTCCTTCTAAGCCTGTCCGCATTAAGGCTGGGCTTGGCATGAGCACCATGGCTCCTTCCAGTTATGGAGGAGCCCAGGCCCTGGGGGTGGCAGCACAGCATCTTCACAGGCTGAAGCTCCAAACGCCGTGACCTGCCGCTCTGCAGACCGAAGCCAGGCTATACTTTCCCCGTCAGAGGCTATGCTGATCAGCAAGCTCACTGCTTCCTTTAAATGCTCTTATTCCTTCAGATTTCATTTCTCTTTTTTGTCACTTTACTTCCATCATTTCTATCCCGCTTCTTAGTCTTTACTCCCAAACAGGTTGGTATTTATAATGACTCATTTATCAGAACATTTCTTTTTTTTTTTTTTTTTTTGAGACGGAGTTTCGCTCTTGTTACCCAGGCTGGAGTGCAATGGCACGATCTCGGCTCACCGCAACCTCCGCCTCCTGGATTCAGGCAATTCTCCTGCCTCAGCTTCTTGAGTAGCTGGGATTACAGGCACGCCCCACCATGCCCAACCGATTTTTTGTATTTTTAGTAGAGACGGTGTTTCACCACATTGACCAGGATGGTCTCGATCTGTTGACCTTGTGATCCACCCACCTCGGCCTCCCAAAGTGCTGGGATTACAGGCGTGAGCCACCGCGCCCGGCCCTATCCGAACATTTCTTTTGCTCAGGACAGAATTTTTTTTTTTTTTTGAGACGGAGTTTCGCTCTTGTTACCCAGGCTGGAGTGCAATGGCGCGATCTTGGCTCACCGCAACCTCCGCCTCCTGGGTTCAGGCAATTCTCCTGCCTCAGCCTCCGGAGTAGCTGGGATTACAGGCACGCGCCACCATGCTCAGCTAATTTTTTGCACCATTAGTAGAGACGGGGTTTCACCATGTTGACCAGGATGGTCTCGATCTCTTGACCTCGTGATCCACCTGCCTCGGCCTCCCAAAGTGCTGGGATTACAGGCTTGAGCCACCGCGCCCGGCCCCAGGACAGAATTTTTAAAGTGGACAAGCAAAGCCTAACGTCCCTTCCAGCCCTGCAATACTATGCAGTCTACACGGAAGTAGAAGAGTGCTCTTCTCACTCATTGGCTTTGCTTCAAGAAATGGGCCGGCTTCTGCAATGATGAAGACCAGCTCACTCAAACCTTGGTTCCCATGAAAATAACTGAAGAGCTTTCAGAATACAATGATAGTCCCAAAGGGATCTGATGTGACTGACCAACATACACAAGGCAACCTCAGAAACACCATTAGGAACAATGAAAATGGTACAATCAATGTGCTCATCCATATACGTACAGCCAGATCTCAAGTTTCAGTCATCTCTTCACATTTTGTTTGCACGTAAAAGATGTGTAACAGGCAAGGTCCATGACCCCTCTGCCCTCCTCATTTTCATAAGCCACATTCCGTGTGAGATTCATTTCTAAAAAACAAAATTCCAAAACTATCCATTGACACATACAACGACTCAAATGATAAGACATTCTCACATAATTGTTTTATCTTAGTTATCAACAGTACTGAAGTCTGCTCAATATTTGTTGGAAAAAGAAAAATCCATTTCCCCGAATAAAACCTCTCTTTGATGGCAGAGAAGCCAACCGTGCTCATAAAAACAAGTCAATAATTGAGAATGAGAAAGAAAGAAAAAGAATGCTAAGACACAGAAAGGTACATTTCTGCTAGAACTCTGATGAAAGATACTATTTCTGAGGAATTCTCCTTACACTAGTATGTTTGAAATTTTGTTTGAACTATGGAACACATATTTTAACCTAAAAGATTGACACAGGCCACATGAATATATATCCTATTCAAAATGTACAAATACTTCTTTTTTTTAATAGTTATAATGACAGTTTATTATAAAGGATACAAGTGACCCGCCAGATGAAGATACGCAGAGCAGCAAGGTGTGGAGGGGTGCTGGGTACAGAGCTTTCGTGCCCTCGCAAACTGGCCTTTCTAGCATTTCAATACATTCACCAAGCAGGAAGCTCTCCAAGCCTTATTGCTGAGAGATTTTATTTACGTTTCATTTTATAGGTATAATTGGTTAAATCAGTGGTCATGTAATTGGGCTCAATTCTAACTGCCTTCATCTCCCCAGAGATTGAGAGGGCAAAAGTTCCTACCCTCTAATTACATGATTGGTTTTTCTGGCAAACCTCCTTTATCCTGAAGCCATCCAGCCAGTCTTCCAGCCCCACATCCATGAACCGTCTTGCTGGCATAAATTCAGGTGTGGTCCAAAAGGGGTTGTATGAACAACAAAAGACACTCTCATTCAGGAAATGCCTAGGGTTTGTGAAGCTCAGTGCCAGGAACTCGAGACAAAACCCAAATGTACTTTTAAATTATACCACAAACTTGGAATGTGAGAATGGTTAGTACCCATTGGAAGTGGTTGGTACCTATCTAAAAGCCTCAGTCCAAAGTGAGAGGTGAAGAATATTATTTTAACATCCTATTACAGAGTGAAGGTGCAGCAGAACTACTGCAACGTCACACGAGTTCAGATAGGACAAACATGGTCTTTAAATTGGGGTGTGATTAGTTTTAAATGTTCTTAGATTTTTTTTCACCAAGTTAGGTCATTGTAAGTGAAAGAAAATGATGGAGATCAAAGAAATTGTCAAAAAATTGCCTCCCTGATAATTAGTGACACAGTTTTAATATTTGTTATAAACACCCCGTAGCGACTGCCTTTAGTGAACCAATTTAGATGAGATTCCCTGCGTTATCGAAGCCATGAGAACAATGGCATATAATGAGAAGGATATTTTCCTATTTTGAAAGGTTTGTGCTTAGAATCTATGTGCTTATAAATCTTAACAGAGGTTTGGAAAGGAATGATTTATCAGTTAAAAGGAATACTTGAGTCATCAGCGCTTCTGGTGGGGGAAAGGAAGTGACCAGAGAACCACTTAATAAAAGTGAAAAAACTAATACTGTTCCTCTGAGACACATTTTTACTAAAATTATATTTTCTTTTCATTTGAAGATCAGAATCAAAGGCAAATTTAACTACAGTGAAAATAGCTGTTTTTAATAATTGAGTCTATCAAATATGATGTTATGCATGTAGATAACATAATACGGTTTCTTTAAAGTAATATAAACCTAACCATATTCACATAGTTACAGATGAGCAAAGGTGTTTTAGCATCTAGTGACACATTTAGGTAGAAGGTACCTATTCTTTAACTGTATTACTTTAATTATGATCTAAATAAAAACGTTTCCTTTATTCTGTTTTTCAAGCCCACTTACCGTCTTTTTTCAATGGACTCAGGACATTCACATGCTCTGTTTTCATAAGTTGGTGATGAAAGCGTATTAGGTGAAATTAATTCTGTGGTCACTAATGGGATTCAGAGATGCTGTGTCCACAGTTTCTCAAAGGGACACTGTAGGAGTCTCAGTTTGTAAACATCCATCCGTGTAAAAAACTGTCTCTGCATCTGATGCCACATGCTCATGCTGATGAGGAGACTGTGCCTCCTCATACAGGGTCAGTCAGGTCAAAACCACTTTTGTGGGCATTTGCATCATGAAAATTACAGAGATGAGTGTCACACTAGCAGCCTGAGGGTCTTCACTGGAAC